CCCCCCCCCCCCCCCCCCCCCCCTCTCTCTCTCTCTCCCTTTCTCTAGTACGTACTGTGCTAATATCTTTTACTTAATTATGTCATTATAGCTTTCTAATCACTATTTTGAGTTCTCAATATGAAAAAATTTCGGAGAATTGAATAGTATTATATAGTGCGAATTCAAATTAACCAACTTCAATACTTGTTGGTAACAATTATTGTGCTTATCTTCTTCAGATCTCCTTAAGTTATTATTTTCATCTTTATTGTGATTCGATTCAATTTTTAAATACGGAGTCATTTTTATAGGAAAAATATTACTACTATTTAAATTTGAGTTTAATAAGGGTGTAACTCAAGCATTGGATGAAAAACAAAAGTAAAAAACCTAATGAATTATAGTGATGAATGATACAGCCTCCAATCCCATTTTTCATTTCTCTTTTGGGAGGAATATTAATGAGTTACTATAGTAATAATTTGAATAGAGCAAATTTATCTAAATATCTCATGTATTAAAATTATTAATCACTTGTTGTAATAATGATCACATAATTAACAGACATTGGGAATATAACATATTCACTTTTCTCTAAGTGATGAGAATAACAAATAGCTAATTAAAATAATACTCTCTCCGATTCCTTTTTAGTTGTCATGATAAAATTTGACATAATTCTTATAAAAAAGTAAATAATAGTAAGAGTTTATTTGATCTATATATCCCTTATTAATTAATGCTAAGAACAAAATTGGAAAAAGACAATTAATCCTTTTTTGATTGTTCAAATTGACAACTATTTTGAAATAAGTATTTTTAATATACATGATAACTAAAAACGGAACGGAGGGAGTAGTAAAATATGAAATGGTGAGTTGTGTTTAGATGAATTTTTAAGAACCACAAATTTGAAGGGCATTAAAGTTTAGTGTGGTCATGCATGTATACCCCATAGAAGCAGGGAAAGTAGGACCTTGTAACTTTGGTGGATTAAAAAAGATTCCTTAAAAACAATGGTGGAGAAGGGGACATCAAATCGTTTGCTTTTAAATATGCAAAAACACACGTCCAATTCAATATTATTACTCCCTTCGTTTAAAAAAAATGACCTAGTTTGATTTGGAATAGAATTTAAAAAAAGAAGAAGATTTTTTAATCTCGTAGTTCTAAATTAAAGTTATATCAAATGTACCAAAATATCCTTTAATCTTGTGGCCTTAAACATGTCACGTGGAAAGTTGAAGTTATAGTGTTGCCAAAAAAGAAAATGGCTCATTCTTTTTTAAACAGAATAAAAAGGAAATTAGGTTTTTTTAAAACGGAGAGAGTATTATATATAGTGTACGAAATTTTTATTAGATACAAACATTGTCGATTATTGAAGATGATAATAGATATTCAAAGGTACATATTGATATAAATTAATTATATGTAAGCCGATTAAAATATCATTATTATATGAAATTAGTGATATATATTAGTAAAAACATGTCGTACTTAGAGTCTAGCTCCATAGGACTTTCGGAAATAACATGCAAACTAGTACTACTAATTAAACACGCTTTTCAAATATAATTTAAACGAATTATAACTATCAAATTCATAATTATCTTAGATATGTAACAAATATCTATATATAACCTAGAGCATAAATATGGGCTAGGCCCGTTGGGCCGGACTGGCCTAACCCGGGATTTGATAGGGCTAGGCTGTAATTTTTGGACCCCATTTTTAAAAAAAAACTTTTTAGCTCGGCCTGAATAAGCCTGCCAATTTGTGGGGCTTGAGAAATATGGATAGGGCTGACCCGTGGGCCAAATAAAATTAATTAAAAAAATAAAAAATAAAATAGAGTATTAAAAATAACAAGAGTCTAAACTCAAAATCAGTTTAAAGTTTGAAATATTACAATTTAAATACAAATTATGTTTATAAAATACATATTACGTAAAATAAAAATTCCCTGAAATTTCTAGGAATCACTACATATAGGCTACAAGGCCGTAGCCTATGGAATATTGTCATAATTTTTTGTGTTTTATTATGATCATTGGAAAACAATTTGGTTTATATTTTTATTTAGCTATTTATGTTTTACTTGAAATCAAACTTAATAAATATTATAATGATAATTTTATTTGTGGATTTGATTAACAAGTATAACACTAACACCATGTAATATTATTTTATTGATATTTATGATAATATTTTTAAATTATAATTTAATTTAAAAAATTATAAAAAATATATTTTTACGTAAAGAGGGTTGTCCCGACATGCCCGTAGTCCAGGTACTTGTGGGCTGGGCCGACCATTTTCTGCCCCACACCACAAATGGGGTAGCCCGACCTGATCCGTCAAATTTCAAAGCATGTATGGGCTTGCCTGGATGGGGTGGGTCAGCCCATATTGACAACTCTAAATTATAACCTATTTTATTATCTAGATGGTTGATGAATCTATGTATATACATTTTTTGTATTTTATATAATGATTGTAATTAAAATAGATAATCTTATGCATCTTGTCTTTGGTCAGACGTCCGAAATCGTAGTCCGAGAGATGAATTAGGCATTTGAAGTTACAAGTTTACTTCAATTGAGTAGCTTGAATATATGTAATAAAAAAATATTAATTCTTTAAAAATAAATTTAATTATTATCATAATATTAATATAAAATTTGTTACACAAAGGCATAACCTTTAAAATCTGGTCCGCTATATATTTTCAGAAGGATGAATATATATGAGTCGTCTCATATACATATGCGACATAGTTAAACGATCATAATATCGTGACTATTCAGCTATTCAGTGTACGATGGATATGACCAACAGAATCTGATTTGCTTAGCTTGGACTTACATGTGCACGAGTTTGAGAATGACTCAAACTCAATCCAACGAAAGTACTCTTTTTCTTAAGATAGCATTTTTCAGTATTGTACATTATTACATTATAAAATCAAAGTAATACAAAGCAAAGCATACAAACAGAAAAACATAGAAAATTTGCTTTTTGTATTTTGAAAAAGTTAAATGATGTTAGTAATTAAGACGGTAAGGAGGATTGTGAGGGATGGTTAGATAGAATAGGAGGTCTAAGTCAAATTTTAAAAAAAGAAATCTTATGCTTATTTATAACTAGAGGTTTACTCCACCATATCAGAATTTTGGATAGATGAGGAGATTAGAATCTTGGAAAGATGAGGAGATTAGTGTTCCCTTTATTATAACTACCGTCTGTGATGTATGTACTAAAGGATTTACCTTCTGCAGTGAACCACGTGATAATGTCATCCAGAAGTGCTAGTAATTGAATCAAAAAGTTTCAAAGCAATGAACTTCAAGGGTTTACTTGCATTGCTATCATATTCCTATGTCAGAGGATTCAAGAGTAGCAATCATATTTAAAATTGTAATTTATTGTGAAAATTATGTTACATAAAAGAGTATAATGGTGATAATAATTGAACAGAGAGACATGTAGGTATAGTGATTTCTTGAAGAATTAAAAAAGTCATTCAACTTTAATGAAGATTTCTTGAAGAGTTAAAAAATCATTCAACTTTAATGGCTTCACACTTCCAGAATGATAATTAATTAATATTAATAATTATAATGATAATATGATAATTATAATTAAAAAATTGAAAGGCATTTTCGTAATCCAACTTTAGACTAAGCACCTTCGCACTTATAATATAATATGATGATGATGATTATAGATATATTTATTTTTTTATTCTCATAATTTTTTTAAGTACATGATAATTAATTATTATTTCTTAATTGTCAACATAATATTTTATGTAATAATTTGTAAGACACGAATATGCATATATAAATTATTATACGTTATATAACACTACAAATGTTTATACCTTAGATAAATCATTATTGATTATAGTTTTAAAAATCTTATCAATTGAATCAATTGTTATACAAACTATCAAATATTCTAGAAGTAGTAGGAATATTTTAAAAAATTGAGACTTCACATGATTGAGCATTTCTCATTAGAGCATCATTTTTACTTGTATATATTTCGAATGAAATTAAATTACAACAATACATCTAAATCATAAATTCATAATGATTGTTACGCTTTAGAAAGCATTCAAAGTAGTTAAGATAATGCCTTTTTAAATTTAATCATTTGATAATTTAATTAGTTTGAGCATGAAATGTCTAAGAGACACCTCAAAGAATTGAAGATAGTCTTACAAAACCAATTTTAAAATATGATTGATTCAAATTGGAGAGAATTTGACAAATTTAAAAGTAAAAGGTAAAAAATAACTGCAAATTAATTGCGTTAAGAAAATTTCAATTAATACTAACAATAAGTATATAATTAATTATATATTTATATATATTACCTTCAAATAAATTCGAGGCCTTATTTTTTCAGGGTCCTAAAGTCGTTGTTTCGGTGGCTTTGGGGTTGAGACGCCTTAGGCAGATTATAAGATCATGTCAGAGTTATTCTCTCTTTTTTATTTTACTAATTCTCGAACACGTTCATTGCACGTGTATATTGTGTTACTTAGTATAAATATTTTAAAATAATATAAATAATATTGAAATATGTATGTGATGAAAAGCGTAGAAATAAAATACGAGTACGAATTGATAAATAATTTACTACAATTTATTCACAAACTCTTCGATATGTAATACCTCAAATTTTTCGATAAGACACTACGTCATGTTTCTTACCCTTTGAAAATGTAA